ATCTACATTGATGATGCTTTACTTCAACGTAGGCGATATTTTCATGTACGTAAATGGGACGTACTTCTTGGTAGAAGTTACTTACATCTATTTAGGTGATAAATACATTTACGTATATGTAAGTATCTTCTGTGTAGATGATACTTGTCTTAGACTGGCATTAATACGCTTACATATATGCCTGCATGCGCGTGACGCCTCCAATTTAAAACATGATAATTGTTTACAAATAGATACGAATTCATCGCACTGTAATTCTTATCTGTCGTACTGGGAATTCATTTTAGTTTGTGAGTTTACTTTTACGACGTTGTTAGCAATATTCCAGCAACATCACGGCGGGGAACACCAGAAATGTGGGGAATCGAACCCGGGTTCTGGTGACGAGCGAGCGCTTAACCACTCGGCTACCCCACCGCCCCGGCAATTAATTGTGACAGCGATAGCGATACCTTGTATAGTCTGACTGACTGAGTTTAGTTTTACGCCGCTTTTAGCAATATTCCAGCAACATCACGGCGGGGAACACCAGAAATGTGGGGAATCGAACCCGGGTTCTGGTGACGAGCGAGCGCTTAACCACTCGGCTACCCCACCGCCCCGGCAATTAATTGTGACAGCGTTAGACGGATGTGTGCCATTACACATAAATACACTGTGATCAAATCCAACAAAGAAAATAACATGGTCGCTGCAATATGTCATTATTCGTACGGTTTACGACAAACGTTAGTCATTTGGTTGTACTTCTACAAGAGGTTCTGTTCGTAAAGAAACCTGTATATATGTCTTATCACTTCTTGCCGATGTCCCTCTGAGATCCCTCGCGAAGCCTTTGATTTATACAGTAAGTGATCGCACAGTAAGACACCGACTGCGAAATAAATTGATTGCGGTGCCGAATAAGAACAGAGATGGTAAATCATGATTGCTGAAGAAACGAAGTGTAGGAGCAAGGACTGACGAGTTGATCAATAGGACGCTACAATACACGACAAACCGGAGAACGGCCTCCCTACATTGGCCTGAGAACATGAGGGGTATATATCTGGTCATCTGTCCATTCCTCTGAATGAGTGCAGATTATTGCCAGTGAAAGGGTAATTATTCGAATATATCACCTTTCGAATACGAAGATATATTACTTCCTTCTTCAGAAGTGTATCATGTTCGTGACAATGATAGAACTGAATGGGAAATTAGAGAACGTGATCAAAAAAAGATTAGGAAAATTTTAAGTGAATAGCTTACTGATCGTAAATTGTTCCCTAATGTCTCTTGAGATTGTGCAAAGAAGAGTAAACTTATTCCGATACCCATCATGATACAAACGGGTTTTTTTCATAACTGTTTTTGACAAAATACTAAAGGTATTCGTCACGTTAGAAATGTCAGAGAAGGGCAGTTTCAATACGTGAGAAAGATATTAGTTTTCCTCAGTAGATACAATGTCTCATATATGTATGTATGTGTGTGTGTATATATATATACATATACATACAGACAGACAGACAGACAGACATACATACATATATATACTGAGTCAAAAAAGAAACTTCACAAAATGTAATTTGAAAAATAATGAATAATTTTTCTCTGATGATACATCTATGTATCCGAAATGGGATCCCAATCTTTCGACTCTAGAAAAACGTTAGCAAAACCCACTCAAACCCATCCATTCGTCGTGCAAATGACGTTAGTGCCAAATCAGGTTTTGCACGTGCAGTCGATCACGTGATCTTCGCATCGAAGTTTTCTTCATATGCACGTGTTTGCATTGGCCTCAAGAATTGAAAAAACACTTTTAAACCACAGTTCTAACGGTACTTGAAATGCCACGATTGTCAAATGTGCAACGTGAACGTGCCGTTGGCATGTTGCAAGCGGGAAGGTCAGTTATTGACGTCGCAAGAGCAATGGGATGCAGCCGTCGTTCTGTGTATGACTTGCGAGGTCGTCTACAACAAACTGGCACCACTTCTGATCGCCCAAGGTCAGGTTGTCCACGTGTGACGTCACGAGCAGAAGACCGTCAAATCGTCCTACGTCACCTACGTGACAGATTTCTGCCGGCTACACGAACCAGGGCTGAGATGTTTAGAGGTCGACTGTCCTCACAGACCATTCGAAATCGGTTGCGGGCTGCCAATCTCTATTATCGACGTCCATATCGTGGGCCAATATTGACGCCGTTTCATCAACGTCAACGTCTGCTGTGGGCCCAACGTCACCTCCGGTGGACCCAGAGAGACTGGAATCGAGTCGTCTTTAGCGATGAATCCAGGTTTACCCTCAGATTCGCGGACGGCAGGCATAGAGTCTGGAGACGACGTCGTGAACGGTATGCCCAATGTTGTGTACAGGAAGTCGACAGATTCGGGGGCGGAGGTTGCATGGTGTGGGGTGCTTTCTGTGGGAACAACCGTTCCCGACTTCTGGTCATCCGTGGAAACGTCACAGCTGCTGCTTACCGCGACCAGGTGCTCACCCCTGAACTCGTTCCTTTCATGGCGGCTCACGGCCCAGGTCTACAGTTCCAGCATGATAATGCTCGGCCGCATACCGCGATGTTGACACGAAATTTCCTTCAAAACGCTGGAATCAACGTCATGGACTGGCCATCGAGGTCCCCTGACCTTAATCCAATAGAGCACGTTTGGGATGCACTTGGGAGAAGGCTTCGTGGTCTTAGGAACCAACCTCAGAATTTGCAGGAACTTGGCGCTGCCTTGCAAGAGCAATGGCGCAGAATCCCCAACCACGTGTTCACAAGCATCAGGCAGTCGATGAGGAGACGGTGTTTGGCAGTGGTGAATGCGCGGGGCAGCCATACACGATATTGAACTGAGAAATTTCGCATTTTTATTCTTGTGACATGACATTCTGTATACCCATGTTTTGGAACAGCGGTGTAGCCTAATGGAGCTGATTATGGCACTGTCAGTGTATCGAATACATCACACAGATCTCAGCAATGAAATAATAACAATTTAACCATCTTACCATCTCTTGTTCTTTTATAGTGCCCTGAAGAAAGAATGTGAAGTTTCTTTTTTTGACTCAGTATATGTCTTGACGAAATCGCTTGTTCACGTGTGTGTGCTTGTGTGTGACTTTATATTGAGTGCTACATATATATGCGTCGTTATGACGATATATAATATAAAATAGAAGAAGGATAAAACAAAGATTGTTAAAATAAACATACTACCAGAAGCTCCAAAACTGTGCAAGAAGTATGAAATGCTCAAGAATTAAAATGCATCCCGAATAAACTGTGAGAAAAGAAAAAGAAAGAAACTATACACTTGGACTTGTGTTTTATATATCTCAAATAGCCGAAAAAGTCACCTGTTGTTAGATACCCATCGACGCGGTACATGTAATATCGCTTATCGGTATCAAATACAAACCCATATAACAACAAGTTCTTGTTATTTGATATTCAGCCACCATCAAACAAGGCTGGGTGTGTACTCTGTTTCGCCCGGAAGTTTATATTCATCTAAGAGTAATACAACTGTATCAAAACAATAAAATAATAAATCATGCGTAAAATACATGTGTAAATTAATGCTAAACAGGGGATTAGAGGAATAGAAAGGACAAAACGATGCACCCAATGGGGATAAAATGCTTGTAACATTTGCTGATGAAATGTGAACATCATTCGTCAACAAGAAACCTGTCAACCTTTTGTTTCTATGTATGTTATCAACTGCAACTGGCTGCTAAACTATGTTAGTGTGTGATGTTATTCATGTTAGTGTGTGATGTAATTCATGTTAGTGTGTGTTGCTATTCATGTTAGTGTGTTAGTGTGTGATGTTATTCATGTTAGTGTGTGATGTTATTCATGTTAGTGTGTGATGTTATTTGTGTTAGTGTGATGTTATTCATGTTAGTGTGATGTTATTCATGCTAGTGTGTGATGTTATTCATGTTAGTGTGTGATGTTATTCATGTTAGTGTGTGATGTTATTTGTGTTAGTGTGTGATGTTATTCATGTTAGTGTGTGATGTTATTCATGTTAGTGTGATGTTATTATGTTAGTGTGTGATGTTATTCATGTTAGTGTGATGTTATTCATGTTAGTGTGTGGTGTGATTCATGTTAGTGTGTGATGTTATTCATGTTAGTGTGTGATGTTATTGTGATGTTATTCATGTGTGTGATGTTATTCATGTTAGTGTGTGATGTTATTCATGTTAGTGTGTGATGTTATTCATGTTAGTGTGTGATGTTATTCATGTTAGTGTGTGATGTTATTCATGTTAGTGTGTGATGTTATTCATGTTAGTGTGTGATGTTATTCATGTTAGTGTGTGATGTTATTCATGTTAGTGTGTGATGTTATTTGTTAGTGTGTGATGTTAGTGTGTGATGTTATTCATGTTAGTGTGTGATGTTATTCATGTTAGTGTGTTAGTGTGTGATGTTATTCATGTTAGTGTGTGATGTGATTCATGTTAGTGTGTTAGTGTGTGATGTTATTCATGTTAGTGTGTGATGTTATTTGTGTTAGTGTGTGATGTTATTCATGTTAGTGTGTGATGTTATTCATGTTAGTGTATGGTGTGATTCATGTTAGTGTGTGGTGTTATTCATGTTAGTGTGATATTATTCATGTTAGTGTGTGATGTTATTTGTGTTAGTGTGTGATGTTATTCATGTTAGTGTGTGATGTTATTCATGTTAGTGTGTGATGTTATTTGTGTTAGTGTGTGATGTTATTCATGTTAGTGTGTGATGTTATTCATGTTATGTGTGTGATGTTATTCATGCTAGTGTGTTAGTGTGTGATGTTATTCATGCTAGTGTGTGATGTTATTCATGCTAGTGTGTTAGTGTGTGATGTTATTCATGCTAGTGTGTTAGTGTTTGATGTTATTCATGCTAGTGTGTTAGTGTTTGATGTTATTCATGCTAGTGTGTTAGTGTTTGATGTTATTCATGCTAGTGTGTGATGTTATTCAAATGTTTTTGTTTTCCGCAGAGGTGGTGGAGTTAGTGAAGGCTCCAATGACGAACCCCTTCCGCCCGGACACGTCGCCCCTGACATGTGAGAGTTATGCAGTCCGCTGTATGGTCGAGTGTTGGAGTGAGCAGCCTGAAGACAGGCCCGACTTCAAGATCATCTGGAACAAACTCAAGTCTATGAGGACGGGAATGTAAGGATTCATACCACTGTGAATGAATGAATGACCGAGCGAGAGAGCGAATGTAAGGCGTATCTTCAAAACATTATGTGTAAGTGAGCGAATGAGTGAGTGAGTGGGTAACTATGACTGCCTCTGGTTCTGAACATGGGATCAGTGTGATGGTAAACAATTTACTGAGAGCATGTGCGTGGTTGCAGGAAGAGGAACATCTTCGACAACATGCTGGCCATGATGGAGAAGTACCAGGAGAACCTGGAGGAGTTGGTGGAGGAGAGGACGGAGCAGCTCATAGAGGAGAAGAAGAAAACAGACGCCTTACTTCACAGAATGTTGCCCAAGTAAGTAGATGGACGACTATGTAGAATGTTACCCAAGTAGGTAAACGGACCCCTTACTTCACAGAATGTTACCCAAGTAGGTAAACGGACGCCTTACTTCACAGAATGTTACCCAAGTAGGTAAACGGACCCTTACTTCACAGAATGTTACCCAAGTAGGTAAACGGACCCCTTACTTCACAGAATGTTACCCAAGTAGGTAAACGGACCCCTTACTTCACAGAATGTTACCCAAGTAGGTAAGCAGACGCCGAACTTCACAGAATGTTACCCAAATATATTCCCCATTAAAAGTTTAGACTTCCTAGTGTAAATGTAGCCACTTACTTTAGTCAACTGTTCTGAACAAGATTTTCTAAAATAATCCATACAGTTTAAAGGTACTGTTTATACATGAGCTGATGTATTGTAAAACAAATTCGTGACGTTGAAAAGGTTATTGTCATGTGTTCAATAAATGATGAAACTCGGTTAGAAATGGCGATTTTTTATCAAAACTTTACATTAAAGCGCAGCTGTTCACATGCACGATATTTGCACATGCCTTTCAGCAAATCGATGCATGATCCATGTGCTATTAATCTGCATAAGGTTTGCAGATGTTTCCCCCAAGTTAGTGGAGAAATTCATCTTCGTTGTAATCATATGTACATACATAACTTATTGGGATTGACTTAAGCGAGTCTAAACTTTTGATGGTTAGTATACATATAGGGTCGCCATAGATAACCGAATGTTACCCAAGTAAATAAACTGGGTAACTCAAGTTATTATTCTATACTTTAGTCTTTACGGCACAGAAAGGTGCCCAAGTACTTAGTATCCAATATAATGTCCATGTTGTTGATCACTAGATTGTCTGGTCCAGGATCGGATTATTTACAGACCGCCGCCATATAGCTGAAATATTGCTGAGTGCGGCGTTAACAACAAACAACAACAACCAATATAATGTCCATGTTGTTGATCACTGGATTGTCTGGTCCAGACGCGATTATTTACAGACCGCCGCCATACAGCTGGAATATTGCTGAGTGCGGCGTAAAACAACAAACAATATAATGTCCATATAATGTCCATTGAATGTATGCCGCCGCCCCAACAGGAACTGACGTGGTGTTCAACTACCTGTGCCTGGAATATCATGGGTTACATTGCATCAACAGTTACAAATGACCAAAGTTAGTCAATAATTTAATGGGATAGGCTTAAACATTTATATACCTTGAAATACAGTCTCATTGAAGTACATCAGATCATCCATTCCTACGTTGACCGCTGCCTAGGTAAACACTTGTAATTTATCCATTGTTTTATTTAGCAACAAAATGTCTTTATAAAGAGAGAAGTACATTTCACGTGGGAAGGAATACTGATACTAATAAGCTATAAAATCATGGTGTCTGGAAATAAAACCCTGAAACTATATCCACCAGATCTTCTGTTGCAGTTATTTCTCTTGCCATAAGATATAGGTTTTCATTAACAGCAAATGTCTGGGAAGTCAATATATGCACAAGAAACTTGAAAATACCATTTCTAGAAATAGATCATTTTAACCATTTTTAAACTAGGTGGCTATTATTGAAATGCCTGTTTCATAGAACATTTCGTCATCTTTTCGTTTCTAAAATTATTTCGGTATATATCAAGTTTTAATCATTGTAAGTGGCGTAGTCATATTTTACACTGTAGTTTCTTGTTTTAATAGATAGTATGTATTTTAACTTCGTTGTCTTATCAAGTCTGTATTTTTGTAATGTTGCCAATTGAGACAGAGTTAGATAAATCGTATTTTTGGTACACGCGGTAAAATCATTGTCAGTGGAATATATAGAATTAATGACTTTTGAAATGCATTTCCTTTTGTTTAATGATTATGATTATATCATGGATATTAGGATAACATTTATGATACTAAATTGGAATTTAGGGAGGCGAATATATTGCCTTTTATGGTCACGACATTACAAAAATAGTTTGAAAAGGGTCTCCATAAATGTCAGCTAGACGAGGACGTAGGTGCAATAGGTAACATTTATTCTTCTATCGCCGTAAACAGGAATCCAATAACTCGTAGAAAGGAATACTGAAGAATAGGATGAGATTGGTATAATATAACAGCGACAAAAAGTTATCAATACTCTTAAGAAATGTCTGCCCAAATCAGATTTGATTGTATGATTCCAAATATTTCATGAACATGTGTTTATGAATCAGTGTAAAATATTGATGCTATCAGGTGTTCGCGAAATACTGAGCGCACGTGGCACTCGTCACAAACACATGCAAAGACAAGTAAATTGTCATCCCGAAAAACACATGGTAACATATGGTGAAACTCAAAATAGGGATTTACATCGGACATCATTTTAGGAAATTAAGGCTTCTTTGGATAGCATTTTGGCTGTGATAAGTCGTGTCAGTAAGGAATGGATCCGTGAAGATCCAGGTTAGAATTGATCTTCAGCAACCCATGCCTGTCGTAAGAGGCGATCCACGGGATCGGATGTTCAGGCTGGCTGACTTGGTTGACACATGTCACTGTATATCAATAGCGTAGATCGATGCTAATGCTGGTGATCACTGGATTGTCTGGTCCAGACTCGATTATTTACAGACCGCCGCCGCTAGCTGGAATATTGGTGAGTGCGGCGTAAAACTAAACTCACTCTGTAGGGAATTGGGTGAGGGAAGCTGGCAGCTTTGCAAGATGTAGACATGTTCCACTAAATACATTGCAGAGTGTAGCACTGATAGCAACCTTTAATACCGACATGAGGAAGATCAGAAACGTTGTTGACCACTGGGCTGTATCCCACTTTGTTGGAATCAATGAGCACATGCTGGTGCTGTCAGACCCAGGAACCTTACCGTTTTTCAGTGGAACCACAAGCATAGTTCCTGGCACACAAGGGGACGCAACTCTTCACAGCGGATTTCGGCGGTGTAGACAACTTGGTCGCTATAGAATGTACAGCGACATTGGAGTGAGTGAGTTTAGTTTTACGCCGCAATATTCCAGATATTTGGCGGCAGTCTGTAATTGTCGAGTCTGGACCAGAGAATCCAGTGATCAACAGTATGAGCTTCCATCAACTGGGATCTGGGATGAGCAACTGGGATACGATGACATGTGTCAACCATGTCAGCGAGCCTGACCACCCGATCCTTTTAATCGATTCTTACGACAAGCGTGGGTTACTGAAGATCAGTTCGGATCTTCACGGGTTCCGCGACATCGGAAATTCACAGTATCAGAAATAAGGGCGCGATGCACAAAGTGATCTCAGTGTTAAAACAACAATGATTCCTGCTCAGTGTCGCATCCACTGACGACGGTCGTAGAGCTGAATTTATGTTTTAGGCTTGTGGTGAACATGTAGGACCCCATTGGCCAAATAACAAGTAAGCCGTGAAGCACTTTCAGTGTTTGAATACTTATTATTGTTATTTTTTCCAAAACACATGAATGATTGAACAATTTACATATATTCTTTCACGACATGTAGCAATCGCTAAAAACAATAAAATCATCTTGCATCAAGAGCGACAACAATAATCCTTTCAACGATTGAAAAAGGGATTGGATGAATTAATCTTTTCAACGACTGAAAAGGGGATCGGATGAATTATTCTTTTCATCTACTGAAAAGGGGATTGGAAGAATTATGTTCAACAACTAAAAAGGGGGTTGGATGAATTAATCTTTTCAACGACTGAAAAGGGGATTGGATGAATTAAGTTTCGGGAAGCTCACAAGGACCTGAATAGGTCTTAAACTGGCGCAGAAAATGTCAGCCAGAGAACTTATATGTATGTTCCTCCTAATTATTTTCCAGGTCAGTGTCCGAGCAGCTGAAGCGTGGTGAGCCGGTCGTCCCCGAGACGTACAGCTCCGTCACCATCTACTTCAGCGACATCTGCGGTTTCACCAAGTTGTCCGCAGAGAGTTCCCCTATGCAGGTCAGTAGTCGGAAGTTACCATGTACAGGGTGGCTGTGTTTCAATCACCACGTGTGCTACCTGTCAAAGAAGCCAAAAACATTTTTCCAAGAAATCTCTGCTAATATATGTTTGCGAAAAGTTGACCATTTCCTGCCCCACCATTGGCACCCCTCACAAACGCATGCAGAGGCAAGTCACTTGTTCACCTAAGAAAACACGTTGATATATTGTGGAAGTGCAAAAAGGGAATTTATATTGTCATGATGCTTCAAATGTCCTCCTCGTGTGTGTTGTGATCTTGGTCAAGGGCAAGAGGGGTACATTCAATATTCGAAGAAACAAAAACATGATAGTACTTCAAAACCACACACGGCTAGGTCCTGATAAACCATGAAGGATGAATTAAATATTATGTACAACGAGTTACCCAGACCCACTTATTTTCACCCTCTAAGAACAACCTTTTAAATATGGCAATATGAACTTAATAGTCGGTTACCTCACTTCCCGAGGGAAGACGCTGATGTGGAAGCTGACAAATCCCCTGTAATCCCACTAACTCACTCACCCACTCAAATCAAGGCCCATTTACACACAGCGACCATAGTACTTCGACATACATGGTACTTCGATATACAATCTGTATTATACCACACGTCACTTGCTGTTTTAAATGTGATAGGGGCGGTGGGATATCCTAGTGGTTAAAGATCACATATAATCTAGGGGGGTACAAATACATAAATCACTAATTGGCATCGTTATAAATGAAACCCCGTCATTAAAACTACTCCTTTCGATCTTTAATTAACTTAAATCGACCTTTTTGACAACAGTGCACAATTCTCAGCCGCGAACGAAATTTCATCCAATCAGAGCGGCGCGTCTCTGTGACGTATGAGGAATAGATACGAGGGCTGATGCAGAATTCAAGTACATTTCAGGGGGTATCTTGTTTACAGGTTTTGTATAAACCTGAAATCGTGACAACTGTTGTGAAAAATGAAAGCTATATGTTCTCACAATCTACTGTCATTTGATTTTGTCTCCTGCTGTGCCTAGTTTCCGAGTTACATCTTGTTTTCATTGACGATTCTGTCAAAATCGCTTGGTGTCGCTAAGCCTTATTTGTTCGAGCCAGACGCTAGTGATAGCGAAAACGATGATCAGTCTCGCTCATCACGGTTACGGTTAATTTCTTTAACCTAAACAGTGCGACATTAAGAAGGGTGGATGCCCATCAGATGCAGTTATTTGAAAATATCCCCGGTAGTTCTTGTCTGATTGTAATAAAGTATCAAAGCAGTGTGGGCCCTTTTTCAGGTTTTCTAATGCGTGGATTGTATAATGACTGATCCAAATTGATCCCATTTCTGTGTTTTTTACCTCGATAAAATATGACGTCTATTACGTATGATATTAAAAATTTACATTTGACTTATTTTAATCCGTAAACTAAACAACCCTACTTTGCCATTGCTAGAAGAATCTGAAAAGTTACTAAGGTAGATAGGTACATACAGTTTTAGCACACAGAAAATGCCTATAGGTATTTTTCATGCAACAATGAAGTTTGTATTCTCAAAACAGTGTCGGCCCGTTCGCTCGTCACGCTGAAGACCCGTGTTCGATTCCCCACACAGGTACAATATGTTAAGCCCATTTCTGGTGTCCCCCGCCGTGATATTGCTGGAATATTGCTAAAAGCGGCGTAAAACTAAACTCACTCACTCAAGTGTGATACCTGACTATGCTACACACGGTACCTAGCTGTTACACGAGTGTTGCCAAATCTGTAATGTTAAAGCATCGTATCTTCTCCACCCCCACCCTTCCCCTTCCCCCGAAGGTGCCCTGTCATGTGAATAATGCATGATGCGTGGGTAAAGGTACTAATCAACAGTCATTTTTCATGCTACAAAAGAACATGCATGATAACGGTTAATTTAGTGTGTGACAGATAGATTTGCTGTCTGTTTCAAAATGCGAATAATTCATGTACTTCCCTCTCCTTCCGCCCTACCCATATGGTCTGTATATCCCGGAGGGGTCGTACTAAACGATGACAGGAGTCACGATCGCGTGCAAGGAAATTGTCATTACGGAATACTGCACTTCTTCATATTTAACCCGTGTAAAAGTACGTGCTGCCCTCTGTATTGTTTGCCCTCGAGAAAGACTTCATCCGATACAGGTCTCTGTCCATACTGAATCTCTGAGGTACGTCTCGGTAACGGACAACTTGTCGGATTGTGTTTGCTGTCTCTGTCTTGCTGACTGTTAGATCACAGAAGTGATTTGTCGTAGATGTTCACGTATCTATAACGTATTCAGCCGCACTGGGCCTATTTTAATAAGCCGCATACGTCATTTAAAATGTGATGCATAGGAGCATCCCTGTTTTATTCTGAAAGTTTATTAAATGATCATTGAAACTCGCGTGAAAATGAAGTGTGTAAACCTACCCCCTGTGATGAATGATAGCGTTTTACAGTAGATTGGCTCCTTAACATCCTTAAGATGATATATTGAAAATGGCGTCGTCGTAATGGGAGGTAGTAGTAGTGGTAGTAGTAGTAATAGTAGTAGTCGTAGTGAGTGAGTTTAGGTTTACGCCACACTCAGCAATATTCCAGCTAGCGGCGGCGGTCTGTAAATAATCCAGTCTGGACCTGACAATCTAGTGATCAACAGCATGAGCATCGATCTGCGCAATTGGGAACCGATGACATGTGTCAAACAAGTCAGCGAGCCTGACCACCCGATCCCGTTAGTCGCCTCTTACGACAAGCATGGGTTACTGAAGATTAATATTCTAACCCGGACCTTCACGGGTCAGTAGTAGTATAACATCAAATATGAATGATAACATCAATTGATTCATTTACTAAGGTCTGTCAATATCGAAGGATTTCAGTGGAACGTCAGACTTTCAAAAAGTTGATTTTAATTGTAAATATTTCTTTGAAAACATATGTATCACATCGCAGAACACAGAACACGTTCAGGGAAATAATTGGAAATGGAATTTGAGTCCTCAGACACCCAACTTTTCCGAAAATTAATTATATATGAGACACTATCTTGTGGAATGCTAACTCATAGCCGTGTTCAATAACACATCATCAGCAGTTCTATGTAGGTAAGAAAGATAGTAGTTTAGAGGTATATGTTGAGCTGATTGAGCTAGTCTAACTTCGCTTTGATGTCAGGAACGAAAGTTTAATAATCAGTTACAAATATAGCAGTTCCGTTCGGCACTTGTCGGCCGCCATCGGCTTTGAACAATACGCGTATTGATCGGCCGGTACACGGTTAACGGTAAACATGAAAGGTCAGAAATGCCATTGGGCTTAAAGTGCAAGAATAGCTATGAAAAGTACATTAACGGATAACTGATATCAGTGAGTGAATGAGTTTAGTTTTACGCCGCTTTTAGCAATATCACGACATTGGACACCAGAGTGAGCGAGTGAGTTGAGTTTTACGCCGCTTTTAGCACTATTCCAGCAATATCATCACATGGGACACCAGAGTGAGTGAGTGAGTTGGGTTTTACGCCGCTTTTAGCACTCTTCCAGCAATATCACGACATGGGACACCTGAGTGAGTTGAGTTTTACGCCGCTATTAGCAATGTTCCAGTAATATCACGACGGGGGACACGAGAAATGGGCTTCACACATTGTATCCATGTGGGGAATCGAACTCGGTCCTTCGGCGTGACGAGCGAATTCCTTAACCACAAGGCTACCCAAACGCCCACTGATGATCAGTGATGGCACCAGATCTTCGCGATCAGCATGAATGAGCTTGGTTTTTAAACCGTTGCACTCCTTGTATGAGAGGTACACGAGAAATGTGATTCACGCATTGACCTATAATGGGAATCGAACCGAGGTCTACGGACGACCGTTTTAACCACGAGAGTATCTCGCCCCTTGTTAACGTTTTGGGTAAGTTTACTTTTTCAACTTAAAACGAGGAGGTTTGATCAATTTTAAAACTGTCGACGTGCAGGAATACCAATGTCCATTATTGAAATCCGCTGGATACCAATTGAAGTACTCTCTACTGTTAATTGTAAAGGGTACTTGTGATGGTAATATTGGCTTAACGCTAGCTGACAATGCAGGTATTATTAATCCTGTGACCGATTCTTTTAGAAATATACATATATTTATTCAAAATCAACAAATTTCTCTATATGACTTCTTTCATTTCTGTCATTAGATGCATTAATTGTAAATAAGCATTCATGTAAATATATTGGAGAAGTCGTTCTATAATGTGATAATGTGTGCCCACATCATTTTAATGAGAAAACTAATTTAAAACTAAAAGCTGAAAATAGCAAAAACAAAATAAGAATACATCGGGACACCTTTTAGTGAAACAATACAGTGTGTCGCGGTATAAAAGGAATTGGACGATCGCATGCAGAAAACTGAAATCCTCTCATCGCCTGGCTCAGTGGGAAAACAGTGAGTTCGACTACGAGGAACGATAATTCGGGATGCAGATCCGATTAACGTCTTGGAATACCCATGTGAAGAAATATTGTGACCTTTATCGAATTAAAATTCAACATTTGCATAATTAAAGGTTGTTTATCAAATTCAATAGCGAAGTTTTCATCAGGTCTCACACTTTCCCAGACTCGATTATTAACAGACCGCCACCATATAGCTGGAATATTTGCTGAGTGCGGCGTAAAACTAAACTCACTCACTCTCAATTCCAATGTTAATGTCTACACGTTTCCCCTCAAGTAGCACCTCTAAAGTAGGTTCAAAATAGGAAAATACCTGCAATAGAATACACAAAAGTATCAATAGGTTTATAAAACTACTTCATCGTTGCCTGGGGCATGTATTTAGTTAACTGAACGAAACGAGTGGAGTCGAATGAACCAATACCTACAAGGCAACTCTCGAGCTGCAGACATGTTGTAATCCATTAATGTAAAGCTGCGATGGTTCAAACAATGTTGGAACTCTATCCCTGACTATGTTTTTATCTAGACACATGAGAGTTCCATCAGTTTGTACGTCCCCAGCTTGACGATGTTATTTGGTGTTGGGTTCAATCCGATGGTAACAAGACACCAGATCGACTCAAATTAGCACCGTTAGTTGTCTGTGATTGGTGCCTGTCGTCCATATTTGGGGGTGGGGCTTGGTTGGAGTTCTGTTTAATGCTGACTGATGCGTGTGTTCAGTGCCCGGGAAACTTCGAGATTACGCAAAATTACAGATATTAGTTAATAGTTATGAACATTTTAGACATGTGTTTGAATTTTATGGAATGTGACGTATCTGTCATCGAGTGACGTGGAAGAAATGAGATTTCCACGAGTGGCGAGCCATCAAGTTTCTATCACTGCATTGAAAAATATATTTTTCTCAAATTCAGAAATGTCAGTCTTTAACACTTAAGTATATAATAAATATCGCATTACTCATTATGTACGTTTTGATAGACGTATTTATGTATATCAAATGTCAATCGTGCGCTGTTTATGTGAAAGTTTACCGGAGATGATATCGGTATTTTGAGCTACATTGAAGTGCGGTATTTAACTTTGAAAGTTGTTATTCCTATATGCCTTGTTCTCCATCCACACTCTACCCCACCCTCAGCTAGCCTTGCAGCACGCTATAAAACTATGGGTTTGTAATCTAATTGGTTTTCTTGTGTTTTCTTTGATTCATTGATTATTAATGACGCTCAGGGTATGTTACGTGATAGATTTATAAATAATCGAGTCTGAACCACACAAACCGGTGATTTATATTATGAGCATCTTTCCTTAGGCCGTATGGGGATCGGGTGGCTAACATTTGACTTTTAGTGGGTCGATGCTTATACTATCATCCACTAACTCGAATAAGTATCTACAAGTCAAAACACTGATTAGACAACAGTCTCGTTTCCTGCTGACTGGGTTCCGTACTATTGCGCAACTTAGTAAGTGAGTGAATTTAGTTTTACGCCGCTTTTAGCAATATTCCAGCAGTATCCAGGCTGAGGACACCAGAAATTTGGCTTCACACATTGTACCCATGTGGGGAATCGAAGCCTGGCCTTCGGCGTGACGAGCCAACGCTTTAACCACTAGGCTACCCCACCGCCCCTCCGCAACTTAGTATAATAACCAGTTCAGAATATTCAAACAGGGGCAGTTATTGACGTCTTAGTTACGGTCATGCTGCCTAAACTTCGCCTTAGAATATAGAAATACAATTTTCTTAAAGTTTAAGATTAAAATTCATTTGTAAATACCATTTTCTTATGAAACAAGTTGGAATTTCGTGTAATCATGGTTGTTTGTAGTGTCTCTTTTCACTTTCACACGAGAAAATTTGGATCGGCTGAAATAGGTCATTGTCTGAATTGGTACATGAGACGGTTTGCTAGATCAGCGTATCTTCTACGTAAACGATGCACAATAGGCTGTGGTCTCAATGCGCTTCCATAAGTCATTAAACATCTGCGCTCTGCTCTCCAGATTGTGGATCTCTTGAACGGCCTCTACACGTCCTTCGACTCCATCATCGAGCACTACGACGTGTACAAGGTGGAGACTATCGGGGACGCCTACATGGTGGTCAGTGGACTTCCGGTCAAAAATGGCGATAACCACGCAGGGGAGATCGCTTCCATGTCGCTGGATCTGTTGACGGCCATCAAGAAGTTTGAGATTCCACATCGGGCAAATGATACCCTCAAGCTCAGGATTGGGATACATTCTGGTCAGTAATACTCTAACTGAAGACCATCAGCGATACGGTAATACTTTGTGTCTGCGACCCAGCTCCTAGATAATCAGGGTTTTACGCGTTGTCGAAATGGGCGTCCGGTAGGCACAGATGTATAGAATGGACGCCGAAAACATATATATTGCGTCTCAAGGGACCCAGAATAATTATCGTCGACAAAAACTATATAGCACCTGTTGTAAGCGTAATCATTACATATTACAGTACAGTACAGTACAGTACACTGAAGTATACTGAACACTTCATATACTTTACAAGACGCATACATGTACTGTAAGGAGCATTGAACTTGATATTTAAAGGTCATCTGAGCTCCTAGTTTTTTTGTAGGGCCAGTTAAAACCCGAATAATATATTTTAAAAAGAGTCCATCTGTAGTCTGGAAGTCCATCAGGATGATTGAGCAAGCTAGATCGCCGCAGCGCTTGGTAAGAAATGTTCTGGGGTCTTTAAAAAAAGTCCATCTGTTGTCGGGAAGTCCTTCTTTAAGATTGGGCTTAAATTGCCTCAGCGCTAGATAAGCAATGTTCTGGGTTGAACTTCCTTGTCGACTTTTTTTATTTTCGATCTATATTTTTGAATAAGCTATCTTTATTTCTGGACCTAACTGCCAGTCTAACGTTCCTCCGTCACCAGTAAATATGTAGACTGTTTTGCAGCGTGGTAATGACTGGACTGGAGTGTTAAGCCCATGGATGTATAGCAGATCTACACTTTAATGAGGCGAATCTAGATAAGCGGACACTGCAACTTGTTATTTTAATATTTTCTTGAAATTATCATTTAACTGATAATTTTATCTCACGTGTTTGGACAAGTCTAATGTTAAGTCAGTTCGTCCATTGCTCACTGAAAGCATATGAACTCCGTACATGAACTTTGGGCGAACCCTTCCACTGATTGGTAATGAAGCAATGTGTGAAGCAGATGACCACACGGTTCTGACACATGTGAAATAACCCGTTTGTGATATGTAGTCGGAGCCGTTATTGGCCGTTTTGCTATGAAGTCTCACCCATTATTGGTCTCAGCGGTTTCCCTAGATAATAATAATAATATGGATTCTTATATTGCGCTTAACTCCACACCAAAGTGTGCTCAAAGCGCTAACAGAGTTCGTAGATATCACGTGTGTTTACAGTCTATTTCTGCTGAACAGGTAGGTCTTAAGATGTTTCTTGAAACAAGTTAGAGTTGGAGTTGATTTCAGATCAAATGGGAGAGCGTTCCATTCAACAGCAGCATTATATGCAAATGATCTTCCGCCAAATGTCTTGAGCCTGATGTTGGGAACCTTTGGTAGCATTTGATCACTGGGACGGAGAGTTCTTGTAGGGACATAGTCTTCTACTAGATCACACAGATAACCAGGAGCTGTATCATTGATACACTGATATAAGAGGGTGAGGATTTTATGATGTATCCGTTCTTTGACCGGCAGCCAGTGGAGATACCTAAGTACTGGAGTGATGTGACTTTTTTGACAGTGTGACAATTCTAGCCGCTGAGTTCTGGATGGTTTGCAGCCTTCTGATTTGTTGCACTGGAGCCCCTACAAGCAGACTATTACAATAGTCAATCCTGGCTAGGATCATTGAACGTGCAAGTGCCGCAGCTGTTTGTTCTGTGAGAAGGTGGCGTATGTTACCTATGTTTCGGAGGTGAAGGTAGCATTTTTTGACAAGGTCATTGATGTGCTTGTCCATGTTGAGTGATGAGTCTAGCTTCACACCCAAGTTTCTAGCAACTGTCGAAAAGTTAATTTCTTCACTGTCGACTGTGATATGAGTTGCTTTGATCTTTTGCAGCCTTTTGTCAGGTCCTATGAGCAAAGCCTCTGTCTCATCGCTGTTTAACTTCAGCATGTTGGAGTTCATCCAGGCGCTAACTTTGGATGTTCAGTCTTCCATCGGATTTAGTCCTGACCTCTGTGACTGGTCATCAGAAGCAAAACTATTGTACAGTTGTGTGTCATCAGCATAAAAATGACCATTGATGGCACAGTTGCTAATGACTTGAGAGACAGGCTTGCTGTAAAGCGTAAATAATACTGGGCCCAGTACGGAACCTTGGGGTACACCGCAAGTCAAAAAGTGTTGTCAGATGATGTAGAATTAATGCTAACTCTCTGGTATCTGTCTCTCAGGTACGAGCGGAACCAGTCCAAAACAACACCGTCTAGACCATATTCAGTATGAAGTCGGTCTATTAGCAAGGTGTGGTCAACAGTATCAAATGCCGCTGATAAATCTAACAGGAGCAAAAGCGCAACTTTTCGGTCATCCACACTGGTCCTCAAATCGTTTAATACTTTATTGAGAGCTGTCTCTGTACTGAATCCACTTCTGTAAGCCGACTGATACATATGAAGCAGGCCCCGAGACTGAAGGTGATCCAGGAATCTTGTTTTAACTGCTTTCTCTAAGATCTTGGATTAAAATGTCAGATTTGATACCGGCCGGTAACTCTGCAGTTTGGTGCGATCAAGATTAGATTACTTAATCAGCGGTTTAATGACAGCAGTTTTCATACATTTTGGGACTTGTCCTGAAGTCAAACTGAGGTTTACAATAGCTGTAATAACAGGTAGGAGACAACCCAGAACTTCCAGTAACAACTTGGTAGGTATGGGATCAAGCTGACAGGATGTTGGTTTGGAACTTTGGATCAACTTCAGTATTTTACTGGAGTGAAATGGAGTGAATACTTCCATGGTTACTGGAGTACTGTCTGTGTGAGGCAAAGGGTTTGGATAACTCGCACCAACAGATCGCCGTATCTTGCAGATCTTCTCGCTAAAATACTGGTTGAACATTTGTGGGGTTTCATCAGCGTTTCCAGAATCTGGAAGAACAACCTCTACAGATTTACCCATCAGAGAAGACATTTGGTAGAGAAAAGCGCTTTTGGATTCTGCAATTGGGAGACAATAAGCTGGTTGATTTCAATCTTTTCAAAAGTGTGTTCACTTCAAGTTTAACTGAATTGAAAATCAAAACCGTAGTTAATAAATATTGTAGACAATGTCTATGGAAAAGAGAGTTTGAACAGATGAGTTTTGAGGGCAGTTTTGAAAGCATCAGCAGATTCTATTTCTTTTAGGGTGAGTGGTAGAATGTTCCAGAGATAGGGGGCTGCAGCAGAGAACGCTCTTGATCCCATGGCTGTTTTGACGTGAGGCTGTGTAAGCAGTAGGGAGTTTGACGAGCGGAGCAATCGGCTTGGAACATGGAGATGAATGAGGCTTTTAAGATATTGAGAAAACATGTTTTCATAGATGCAGCTGTGTGTAAGAAGAAGAAGTTTGTATTGAATTCTGCTTGATACAGGAAGCCAGTGAAGAGTTTGGAGGATAGGTGTCACAGTTTGGTAGCGTGGTGCACGGGCAACAACACGGGCGGCTGAATTCTGAATCCGTTGGAGTTGTGAAAGGAGCTGTTGAGGAATGTTGTAATAGAGGGGAGTTGCAGTAATCAAGTTTAGAGAGAACAAGGCTGGTCGTTAGAAGCTGGGCGGTGTTGAAGTCTAAGAGGGTTCGGATTCGTTGGTTGAAAATGGCCACTACTCAGCAATACGGCTCAGTATTATGCGGTTGGCGGAGGAATCCAATGTGTACAATTTCACCCGTTAAGTATTGTGAGTGAGTGAGTTTAGTTTTACGCCGCTTTTAGCAATATTCCAGCAATATCACGGCGGGTACACCAGAAATGGGCTTCACACATTGTACCCATGTGGGGAATCGAACCCGGGTCTTCGACGTGAAGGGCGAATGCTTTAACAACTAGGCTACCCCACCGCCCCATTAAGTATTGTATATGTTCAAAGAGGGATTAGGAACCTGAACCTGCTCCTCATTAACAGTACAGACCTGGTCGCAGAGGCTCGCGCCTTGTATGAAACACTGGCAAGGTCTGCAATAAAGGCAATCACCATCTGCAACATTGACATAACGAGTGTTGGTTAACAAGAGAACAACAGTCTGTTAGAGTGCCTGGGCCTCGTAGTCCATTTACCAGCCCATAGGAGTAATTTCGGGGCGGAATATTTTGACGCTGCTTTCAATTTACTTCAAGAAGTAAATAAAACAACCACTTACAGTTGACATTTCAAACGTTGTGGTGAGGGCTTTTCTATATGGAAATGCTATATACACTGATCATTGGGTTTAAAAACAGAAATGGCATTTTCTTCAAATACGTAAGGGACGAATTGGATTTCTGATAAATTTGTTTGTTTCAAAGAAACACAAGATCTCATGTGCTACACACACACTAAACCTATTATACGAAGGACGTTTGATGTTCTGAAGAAGTGTAAAATATACCACCCATCAAAAGTTTAGACTCACGTAAAGCACTCACTATATGTTATGTATATATGTATGGTTACATCGAAGATGAATTTCTCCACTAACTAGGGGTTACCAACTGCAAACCTTATGCAGATGAATTGCACGAGGATCATGCATCAAATTGCTGAAAGGCATGTGCAAATATCGTCAATGTGAACAGCTGTGTTTTGGTGATAAGTTTTGTTAAGAATTCGCCAATTATTACTGAGTTTCATCATTTCTAGAACTCATGACAATAATCTTTTCAACGTTACGAATTTGTTTTACAATACATCAGTTCATGTGTAAACAGTACCTTTGAACAGTATTGAATATTTGGCAAAATCTAGTTTAGAACAGTTGACTGAAGTAGGTGGCTACATTTACACTAGTGAGTGTAAACTTTTGATGGGTAGTATATATATTTTGGTCATCTCCGAAGAAAATTAGTTGCGGCAGTGGATGAAAGAAGTGTGTCTGAAAAACTCGAATCTTTGTCAAATGAGCATCAAATTCTGGTTCCTCGACTAGTTTACACTAACAATTTTTCTGTTACAGGTCCCTGTGTTTCGGGGGTTGTCGGGGTGACGATGCCCCGGTACACGTTGTTTGGGGACACCGTCAATACCGCATCCAGGATGGAGACAAACGGAGAGGGTGAGCCGCCATCTTGTTACGTAACTTCCGGTGTTTGCACGGTCCTTATCAGTGCATGCCACCCTTCCAGTCTCACCACTGCCACCAGAGTGCAAGCGCCTGAATCTCGAAAACAATTCCTCCAACCAGGACACACATTACATACAAAGACACATTCTCTGTAAAGTTTGCATCTTAATGATAAAAGCTGCGCGCATTTTAATGGAACTTGACACAGTAGACCATTCATTATGTAATCAGAGAAAGTAATTTTACTCCCTAGCTCCACTGAAAAAGCTCTGGGTGCATTACGATGCAAACATTTTGTGTTTGTAATTTGTGAGGATATATTGTTTTAAAATGTGTACATATTTCACAGATGGTCCCTGTTCGTTTTCTTTGGTTAGGCCTGAAGAAAATGATTACTTTTCATGAGATCCTTGCAATTTGCGTTTCTCTTTGCGACAATATATAATTAGATATATACGCTATCGATATTTCTTGGACTAAGTTTCAGTCAATCCTTATTTAAGCGTTGTGATGTCTTTCAGCCTTAATGATCCATTTGAGTGCCGAATGTAAGAAGACGTTGGACATCCTTGGAGGCTACAACGTCAAGGAGAGGGGACTAGTCAACATGAAGGTCAGTGTACACACATCCTTTCCCAGCTTGGTTTTCTTTCCGATTCACATAACATGAGGTCTATTCCCAAAATATACACCTGAAGAAACCTCAACCCATCGCTGGACATATGTCGGGGAAATGAAAACAAAGGATTACTGTTTTCCGCTATTGATCTTCTACTACGTTTGTAACGAACACCCTTATATCGAACTTACGGATATAACAGACTGCTTTCTTTGATCCCAGCCAATTGCTTCATATTTTATCACCACAGTTACAACGAACTGAAGTTAGTGGTCTTTTATAACCGTAGTCACTGTAGGGAGAAATGCTGACATACTGGCCACTTGGGGAGAACGAACTGTTATGTTTGTCTCAAATGCTGACATACTGGGTCAAGTCTGAACCGTGTGGTTATGTTTCAGGGCAAGGAGAAATGCTGACATACTGGCCACTTGGGGAGAACGAACTGTATGTTTGTGTCTCAGGTCAAGTCTGAACCATGTGGTTATGTTTCAGGGCAAGGGAGAAATGCTGACATACTGGCCACTTGGGGAGAACGAACTGTATGTTTGTGTCTCAGGTCAAGTCTGAACCGTGTGGTTATGTTTCAGGGCAAGGGAGAAATGCTGACATACTGGCCACTTGGGGAGAACGAACTGTATGTTTGTGTCTCAGGTCAAGTCTGAACCATGGGTTATGTTTCAGGGCAAGGGGAGAAATGCTGACATACTGGCCACTTGGGGAGAACGAACTGTATGTTTGTGTCTCAGGTCAAGTCTGAACCGTGTGGTTATGTTTCAGGGCAAGGGAGAAATGCTGACATACTGGCCACTTGGGGAGAACGAACTGTATGTTTGTGTCTCAGGTCAAGTCTGAACCATGCGGTTATGTTTCAGGGCAAGGGAGAAATGCTGACTTACTGGCCACTTGGGGAGAACGAACTGTATGTTTGTGTCTCAGGTCAAGTCTGAACCATGCGGTTATGTTTCAGGGCAAGGGAGAAATGCTGACTTACTGGCCACTTGGGGAGAACGAACTGTATGTTTGTGTCTCAGGTCAAGTCTGAACCGTGTGGTTATGTTTCAGGGCAAGGGAGAAATGCTGACTTACTGGCCACTTGGGGAGAACGAACTGTATGTTTGTGTCTCAGGTCAAGTCTGAACCATGTGGTTATGTTTCAGGGCAAGGGAGAAATGCTGACTTACTGGCTGCTTGGGAGAACGAACTGTATGTTTGTGTCTCAGGTCAAGTCTGAACCATGCGGTTATGTTTCAGGGCAAGGGAGAAATGCTGACTTACTGGCTGCTTGGAGAGAACAAGGAAGTTCGGAAACTTCGTCTGGCTAAGTCGGCGCGCAACAACACATCGCGGGCGGCTCCAACTTCCGGTTCCGACTCTCTCCGACGAAGGGTGCTGAGTGGTCCAAAGTCACGCACAGACATTCAGAAAAGTCCCGAGTTGTCGCCCAACGACGTCAACTCAACTGATGGCTACCTCTGGGACTTTCTCAAGACCACGGACAATAATCACGTGTGTGACGGGGAATCCCCTTCCCACCACTCATTCAGATCCAGATTAAACACGTTCAGGGATTCGGTTAAGAAGAAATATGCATCCTCCAAAGAGAGGCTTTCAAATGATTCCAAATCAAATTCAAGAGACCATTTACAGATTTCAGTGCCTGAAAAAAACAGTCCCAATTCTAGGCGTAGTGTAGTGAACGACGTCGACAGCGTTAGTCAGTACGACAACGCCCCGCCGGAGACTGAGTGTTTATTGTGTAACGCCAACACGGCAAATCCGTCCGAGATTATCTCCCTTGGAGCCAAGAGACGCAGCACCACAGGAGAGTTTGAACTTTTCGTAGTGGAGAAGAAAGTATGATACATGCTGTATGGTCAGCTAATTTGATCACGTCATCAATACGTCACAGGTGTTGTATACATTGTGATTCCCCTCGTCCAACAATACATACCACAGTTTGTCTGTCATACATACACTGAAACAAATATACCAAATACAGTTAATCAAAGTCTAGAATATGTAGAAAGTCCAGATTACCACAGTTTCTGAAAATGAAGAAAACCCATGGGCTATGGAAAACCCATGGGCTTAGATATCTTTCAGTATTATTATTTAGGAACTGGTTGGGTGGGATCAAGTAAAATATGTCCATTTCAGAGCTTTTTTTACCGTTTTACGGTGCCGAGTAAACGAATGTCTGTTGTGAATTAGTTGATGTAATGAGACCGATTATAATTGCCTTACATTGTGGTGTATGTTGCTTGAATTTTGGGTAAAGCTGCTGTGACCGGTATTCCAGTTATATCACGGGGGACTGCTTAGTGTGGGAGTAAAGCCCGGAGTGATGTAGGTCTCAATTGTTTACCACTTTGAGGAAACCCACTAGCAGGGGTATGTAGCTAACAAACAAATAAACATACAGGGAGCGAACTGGGATTCGAACCATTAAACATAGGTTCCAGGCGTAGATAAGGGACGCAACTCTGCAAAGCTAACTGCAACGTTTTGGACGACTGGGCGACCGGCGCCCCATCTGTGTGTAGACATAATGCCACAGGTTTGTGACGCATGACGCTCGAGAAATATAGCCATGTGCACGATGAACACCAGAAATGGGCTTCAGACATTTTACCCATGTGGGGAATCGAACCTGGGTCTTCGGCGTGACGAGCGAACGCCTTAATCATTAGGCTACGCTTTTGTCCCCCTTTCGGAAAGAACCTTCCGCGGCTAGTTTTGTTGGTTACAAAAGCGACTACAGCAAAATTTATGTATGTATTCACGGGGGAAGGGGAACGAAGAGTATACAATGCTACGTGGTATTGTCAATGATCGTATCAGGAAACCCAGTGCTATGGAATCCAGTGCTAGATGATGATGATGATGATGATGATTGTTCTTACATGTGATTGCGCGTTAACCAGTTTTATCGGATCAATTTATGTAGCGTTTTCTGACGTAAACCGGTTATAGTTGTAGTGCCGTCTGAGTAACCGGTTGCAGTTTGTTGTGTCTCATAATAACCGGTTTCAGTTCATACTTGAGGTCTCCAAGGTAATATAGAAGCCCGCTGTGTAGGTTAAAACAAAGGAGGTTATTGCAGACAATTGGTTGGAACTATAATTCTTACAACACTGGTGCAAATGACGAAGTCAAGCAAATGATCAATCAAAGCAAAATTCAAGCCCAAACTAGAGGAACAATCAGCAGGAGAGATTGCCATGGATACTGCAGTACTTCCGGTGACTTGAAGTAGGCGTTGATCGAGGAATGCGAAACAACCAATGTTTTCGGACTAGAACTTGTGACAACACATTGGAGAAAGATACAGAGTGAAAAATACCGAGTCACATTATGGGATCTTGTTTATAACTTTGTGGTATTTGGAGTTAATGGATGCACATCAAGTAACGCCGCACAACATCAGTCAGAAGTGTGTCTAAAACACAGGCTGATATTAAAAAGCGCCAAGGAACTATACAATGTTCTTGTCACATTGACAATTCCGATTAGAGCGGAATCCATTCTGAAGCGCCATCTAAGTTTATATCTTTGCAAAAGATGGAAAATGGTGTTAGCTAAGAAACCCCATTACAATGACGTCACATGAAAACAACAGCAGATCTTTTTAGAGTACTAGTATATTTGAGACTAACCATTATGCTGTGGAGAGACAAAAAACTATGCTCCAATAACTAAGTATTTTTTTAAATGTTGATGAAATTGTGATATTTCACGCCACAGCTGACTCCGTAGTCATATCTGACTGATCTGTGACTTGGATCAGTTGTGTAATCCGGAAAGGCCAAGGTCATCGTTCTGCTTGGACTCAACTCATCTCTGTGTGATCTGTGCTGTTTTACCATGTTTATATTTTACACCATTTTGAGACAATGTTTACGTGATCACCATGGTTACCTTTGTGCTTGTGCTCTACCACTATGATGTGGAAACTGTTGACACTCATTAAAGTTTCATATTAGTGTTAATGTATTTCCGGGACTTCTTCATACCCGCTGGGTCTTTGTTCTAAGGATCCAGGACGTTTGTGGTTTAACGACCTAAGTACACAGAGAGACATCTTGGTGTAATAAGCAGCCGTCGTGCGTCAAACACGCAAGGAAGTTCTAAGTATATACCGAGTTCTTCTAATCCTTCTCCTTAGGGATGGTAAATCGTGATAATCAGAGATTTCTTCCAGAAAATCCAGATTGTTGAAATACCAAATGTTGACAATGCATACGGAACGTTTTGCTTTTCCTCTTATGTTCAATCTCGAGTGTATTCCGGTTTAGAGCAGGTCCCCACTGACACGTGTTTGTCGTGAGAAGTTACTTTATAGATCGATGGCCAGGTTCATAGACTTGGGTGATTGCGTGCAGGTTGTATCACAGGAATACGCCGTGAATATCACACGAATAAATAATATGTTTCACTGACTTGTCCAGGGCTCCGTTTCACGAAGCAACCGTAACGCTACGACTGTCGCAATGTATGGGTTAAAATCATCTTTGCTCTACGACCGCTTCGTGGAACGTGGCCCAGGTGTGCCGTAATGAGTGTCGTGGGTGAAACTAAGTTTGTTGGTTGTTAAACGCCACATTCAGCAATATTCCAGCTATATGGCGGCTGTCTGTAGATGATCTTGTCTGGACTAGACAATCCAGTGATCAACAGCATGAACATCGATCTTTGCAACTGGGAACCAATGACATGTATCAACCAAGTCAAGGAGCCGGACCACCCGATCCCGTTAGTCGCCTCTTACAAACATTGGTTGCTGAAGACAGATTTTAAACAGGGTCTTCTCGGGTTGAAAGTAAGACATTTATTCTGTCCGGTACGCTTAACTGCTGGCTTCATATACTTCCTTTCAAAAGTTTAGACTCACTTAGAACCCCCACTGTATGTTATGTATATATAACATATATATGGTTACATCGAAGATTGATTTCTCCACTAACTTGGGGGAACCAACTGCAAATGAATTGCACGAGGATCATGCATGAAATTTCTGAAATTGTGCAAATATCAAATATCGTTTTGGTGTAAAGTTTTGTTAAGACTTCGCCAATTTTCACTGATTTTTATCATTTATTGAACTCGTGACAATAATCTTTTCAACGTTACGAATTTGTTTTACAACACATCAGTTCATGTGTAAACAGTAAATTTAATCAATATGGAATATTTTGCACAAGTTAGTTTAGAACAGACCCGTGAAGATCCGGGTTAGAATTCATCTTCAGTAACCTATGCCTGTCGTAAGAGGCGACTAACGGGATCGGGTGGTCAGGCTTGCTGACTTGGATGACACATGTCATCGGTTCCCAGTTTCGTAGATCGATGCTCATGGTGTTGATCACTGGACTGTCTGGTCCAGACTCGATTATTTACATTTAGCTTAAAATAGCTGAATATTGTTGAATGCAGCATTACAAAACAAACTAACACTGCTTTAAGTCTTGCAAAGGTTGGATTCACGGAACAGGTAGGCTCATTTGAATTACTCTTGACCTAAATTCATTGGTTGACCTACAGTCGATACACGGCACCACACGACATATCGACCCGCAGGTCACGGATTGTCGAGAACCTGAGTGTATACAACCCCGTACAGAACTGACGATAGTCGATAACGCGTTCAAACTGCTAAAGGAATGCTCTTTTCTTGTAACGGGCCCATTTAAACCCTTTCATCTTAACGCCCAGTAGAACGGCCGGAAAACAGACTAATACACCGCTCCAGTAACAAGTTCATTACTATAAATCACAGTAACTAGGACACACAACACACCAGGCTCCAATAAACTGCTATTAATTTCATCGAGGTGGGTTTCTTGACTAGTTTAAGAAGACAGGTATATGAACCTGTACTGAAACATCGCCATTACTGTCACTGCAGATTAGCTCGAACGATAAACTCCAATTAGTGAGTCATTGTCCACGACAGCCGTTGCTGGCAACGCCATGACGATTAAGTCCTACAGATGAATAGTCAGCTGATTCCTGAAACTGGAGAAGAAGGGCATTGACGTAACGAGGAATCGTTCCCAGTGATGAAGAATGAGAAACCGATGTGGGCAGACCCGTCATTATTGGTCTTCATTTGGAATCTGGGGTCAGAAGAACTGGTCAATTAGCAAGGAAACTCGAGCTGACCACAAAAACTGTGCACGTGACACTACGAAAGCATCAATTAAGATGGGTTTCACGTCCTTGAGACTATTTGGAACCCTGCAGTGACGAAAATAGGGTAAACCAGAGACTCTGTGGGTAAACCTTGAGATTCATACCACTCGTCGTGAATTGCAGCTTAACCAACTTTTGATGGCGGTGATAAAGAAAATGATGGTGCTCGTGGACCCGGCACTGATTTTTTAAAATGATTAACTCTGTTCCGTGATTTTTTAACAAAAAGTTCAAAGGATTAGGCACCTGAGGTTCAAATGCTGCCGATGCCAACGTTAATAACAGTATTATATAACATGTTTGCTTTGAGAACAGTGTGTTAAACGATATTATGAAAATCCGTACTTAGCTGTGTTAACACGACATGAGTCGGCCCCACGTGATGCTCACAAAAACGTCATTTTTTCCTGTTTAGCGACGCATTACGAAATGCACGTTGATGGGCCTGTATATGTTGTTCATATTCGACCGACCTGAGCACATGTATTAATCACCCGAATAATTATCACCCTTATTCGGCCTACACAGAGACCATTCTTTTCTTTCAACAAAAAGCCTCAAAAATAACAATTCAGTGGATGATCTGTACGTAATGAACACAAATACCGCCATTCATAACGGATTAACTTGATGTCGATGTCTTGTTGTAATTTAAATGTTAATTCTACAGAATTCCTTCTGCGTTACTGCGGCAGAAGAATAGATTCGTTGGTTTCCATGGGTTCGAATCCAGCTGGCAACACCCTGTTTCGACCTATTGTTCTGTCATTATTGCCAATGATAATAATGATGATATCTGTCCCAAAAAATAGGAACCATAGTTTAAGAGGACTTTGGTTCGACAAATATTGTTGTCCTGTTCATAAAATTCCAACACCTGCAAGAGCTTGGTTTATCTGTTTTGTTCAGTTTCATCATCTCCTGCATCCAATATTATATTAATTATTTACCAGGTTATAAAAAGGAACGTCAGTTAACCACGTGGCCAAAATCACGTCTAGACATAGACTGGAACTGGTCATTAGAACGCGTAGTCCTACTACATAGATGAATGGGAATCGTGTAAAGTCATTAGGTTTGTGTGTAGCATTCATTCTGTCAAATAAAATGTTGAAAATTGTCATTTGATGGCAAGTCAGATGTATTCTATCCGTAATTATTGAAATCTGACTGTCAGATATTGACATTACCTGTGTAGACAACGCTCGGTGGCTCGTAGGTTAGGTACGCTAATATAGTCCATTGTGTTACGTTCGCTGTCCAATGTACATGTAAGGGGTTAGTGGTACGGCTTTGGGTGGACGTCAAGTCGGTAGCTAGTCATGTACAAGTATTACCTTGTACACAACACTATATGAGATTTTAGCACATAATGATATTAGCAAGGACGTATGTAAGGTATGGGGAAACAGCACCACTGCTAATATCATGACCTCCTCGCGGGTCATTTAGAAGTTGGAGCACTTAGGAAAGATTTGTAGATATTGCTTCTTTGTTGTTTAACGCCGCACCATGACAGCTATATGGCGGAGGTCTGACTCTACAGCTGATGACAAACCTTGGCTGTGATGAGAGTGCCATTACTGATTATCAGAGGGCGATTGGGTAGCCTAGTGGTTAAGGAATTCGCTCGACGCGCCGAATACCCGGGTTCGATTCCCCATATGGGTACAATGTGTTAAGCATATTTCTGGTGTCCCTCGCAGTGATATTGCGGGAATATTGCTAAAGGTGGCGTAAAGCTAAACTCACTCACTCACTCACTCACTTGTTATGATGAGTACGGTCAATTTCAAAATGACCTGTTGATAGAAAAACATTCTTTTGTAGAAAAATGAAATGGCATACCTGCAATTCTGAAAGTAAATGTTAAAATACAAATATCCATAAAACTGTTAAATTACTTACACCAAACTGACTGACTGACTGAGCGTGGTTTTACGCCGCGTTTAGCAATATTCTAGCAACATCACGGCGGGGGACACCAGAAATGGGCTTCACACATTGTACCCATGTGGGGATTCGAACCTGGGTCTTTGGCGTGACGAGCCAACGCTTTAACCACTAGGCTACCCCACCGCCCCACTTACACCTAACACGCATATACAACTGTCGCTCCTAATTGTAATAAATAAGTTGTCCATCCATATGATTTATCTTTCCCAACGTTGAAATACAAAGCGGGACGGTGGGGTAGCCTAGTAGTTACACCGTTCGCTCGACGCGCCGAAGACCGGGTTTGATTCCCACATGGGTACAATGTGTGAAGCCAGTTGTCCCCGGCCGTGATATTGCGGGAATATTGCTAAAAGCGGAGTAGAACATAACTCACTAATACAACTAAATCAAGTCATGATATGAGCAGTGTTGTCCACACTTTTCATTGTCAACGTCTATACACCAGCCGTACTATTGCCCCAGGCATTAGGTTGGAATCTGCACAAGTTAGCGAGCTTGGTACATATCCTAAGGGCATGAATGTGTATCAACATCTGAAGTTTACACATACGTGAAGCCCACGAGGAGAGTGCCATGTTTTTCTACGGTTTAATTGAACCGGTCCCCACTTGTAGGTCACTTGTCAGGGGGTCGTGCAGTTCCTCGTGGGGATACAGAACCAGGACGAGAGCATCTTGACACGTTTCTCGGCAAACCCCGGTTCCACTAAATGCACGTTAGAGAATTACAAGGAAGGACAAAGACTATGATGACTAGGTGACCACCAACCGGACCTGTAAGTCACCTACACTGACAAATGCTTTTGAATTGTGATGCATTTATGAAGGTCCGCTGCTGA